CCGTCATTGAAAATCGTCAAACCAAAAGTAACACTAAAATCTTCAGCTGTATAGAACAGTTTTAGTGTGTATTCATGTAAACGAGATTAATCAAGGATATGTTCTATACAATCAATGTAGGGAGATACGAATCTACAAAAATGTGGACTCAGGCCGGACGAGCTCTACCCACAACTCCTTAGTAGCTTTACAAGCAAAATATAGCGATTAATGAACGTCTAGCAGAAAGACTAATGACATATTTTTGTGATAGAGTCTGTAATACTATGACTAGCGACATGTTCTATTTTAGTATGTACTAGCTCTCTCTCATGTTACCTATAAAATCAAAAAGAGAGGTATAGTTTATCCAAATGATGGTTGTTATTCTCATCGTAATAAAAAAATTTCATCATGAGCTTTGAACAAAAGCTAACTGCATACTACCGTATGATAAATTATTTTATATAAATGAATAAAACATAAACTTTGAAAATAAGAAAACATTCGAATACTAATCATTGTTCGTCTTTTCAGAGTTTTTATTTTTTTTCGAACTAAATAAACGTCGAAATAGTCCAATTGGTTGTCGATATATATATTGTTGAAGAATTTTATCTTTATTTGATTCATTAAATGGTTCTAATTGATCATTATCTTGAATTTCCATCCAACCATAAATTTTATGTTTATCATCAATATAATAAAGACCATTTTCAAATCTTAATGATTCTCGACGAGCATAATCACCTGACCAATAATTATATAAATTATTCTGTTCAGCAATATGAACATAACCTGGTACAACATCAGTAATAATAGCTACATGTCCAAAAGGCATCTGTCGACTACGAGTATAAATAAGTAAGGAATCTTTTTTCGGTGGTTCTGCAGAACCATTAGCAACTGGACGTAAGGAAAATTGTTGACCATCAGTAACTCGTTCAACATATGGCACATCAGTCCAAATATTACAAGCACATGGAATGTCTCGAAATGTACAACTTTTACGCATTAATAACCATCGACGAGCAAATTCCACGCATTGCCATTGATAACCAGTATGAATTCCATGAATATAATGACGACTTATATTAAATATACTACTATTTCTGTTTGAATAAGCTGGAACATTTGTTGATGCAATTCCTTCAATTTCATTCAATGGAACATGATTGTTTGTTGCACGTGCCATTGTATATCCTCTTTAAAAATAAACAAATAAATAAATAGTTTCAATAAAAAAAAAATTTAAGAAAATCTTCTCAAGATTAAAATAATAAATTGAATGTTAATCCTCCAATTCTTGTTCTCATATAGCATAACATCTCGTTTATCTATCTGAAGATAAAATAATGACTTATCTCTTAGAGTTTACAATTCTATTCAAAATAAAATATCGAAAACATATATATATACATATGTCTAATGTAATATAGCGACATAAAATTATATCAAGAACAAATTTTGATATTTATTCTTTTTTTATTCTTTTTATTTAAATTGTAAATTGTAAATCAATATTTCGGACATCACAATGTCCATCATCAGGACGATGAAGAAATATTGATTTACAATTTAAATAAAAAAAGAATAAATATCAAAATTTGTTCTTGATATAATTTTATGTCGCTATATTACATTAGATTATTTTCAAATTTAAAAATTCCATGATTTATTTATTATTTTATTTTATGTATTAAATTCGATGACAATTATGGTACAATCTTCTTCTTCATCGTCCTGATGATGGACATTGTGATGTCCGAAATATTGATTTACAATTTACAATTTAAATAAAAAGAATAAAAAAAGAATAAATATCAAAATTTGTTCTTGATATAATTTTATGTCGCTATATTACATTAGATTATTTTCAAATTTAAAAATTCCATGATTTATTTATTATTTTATTTTATACATATGTCTGTTTTTAATAATGATCATTTTTGATTTTTTGTTTTGTATACATACATGTCGTAACTTGATGAATCACTGATTTCTATTGGCTTGTTTTTATTTAATTGTTTTTCTTCATTACCTCTGATTTTATGTAACTCTTATATTAGATCGTCAAAGTACATTTTTGTGTACTCAAAAAGTGAGTACACTCTAGAATCGGTCAGTGTGTCCGGCCGTCCGGCCGGCCGTCCGGCCGTTAACACGATAACTTTTGAAAGGAGAGTCCGATCGCGATGAAATTTTTTACACAGTTTAGTCTTAACAATATCTCAGTCGAGTTCGAAGATGAGAATGATTGGCCGAACCATTGCTGAGTTATTGCAAAAATAGTCATTTTTCCCTATGAGAAGATAGACCCTTCTCTGCTTTCATAAAAAACTTTTCCTATCATAGTCATATAAAACCCCAACTATTACATACCATTCGATAGAGAATTTCACGAGCTACAAAATGGTATATAAAACATAAAGAAACAAGAAAGCTAACTCGCCTATTGCAAAGATAATTAATCGGAATTCGGTTCTGTTTTTGTCCACGCTCTATATGATCCACAATTAGAGTTCTATCTTCCCATCACAGAGATAATAGTTCGAGGTTTTCTAGAATGGAGAACTCGAATCTATGTTCCATTCGCCTCGAAATCCCATTGGTTGAGCAGTGACCAATAGAAATCAAGTTATAGGAAAAACGAGTTTCTTAGGGTAAATCAAGGTGAAGAGTTCAAATCTGAGCTGTATTTGCCTCCAAATCGTATTGACTGAGCAATAGCCAATAGAAATTAAGTGTTTACAGAAAGGGTTTGCCAGGGCAATTTTGATGTTCACACATTCTAGGGTGACTCCTCTGTCTGATTCACTTTTTGAAGTACACATAACTCTCGGATTTAAATCCGAGGTTTCCACATTTATTTTAGATACAATCAAGAGAACTGATACAGAGGAAAAAAAACGTAACAATGACAATGCAATCTTTTTATGTATGACTCATTTTTTTTCTGTTTTGCATTGCCATAGCGCATAAGTTACAAACCATAAAAGCAAACTAAAATGATTGTGTTGAAGAAATGATACTGACGCATTTTTATTTTGGCTGATAGTTTTAAAAATTTGAATTTAATTGTTTTAATAAAAAACTAAAGTTTAAATGAATATCTAAGCGTACAATTTTTGGTTATAGTTAATTGCTCTTGAACAGTATTTTATGTACTAATTTTAGATTTCTATAATGTCCTATTAAAATTTATCATATTACCTACATTATACATTATGTAAATAATATGTTGAAATCTAATCCCAAAAAAATAAGAAAAATTCTCGAGGATTGAGGAAAATATAATCATATTTTTTTTGTATAATTGATGTAATTCTTATTTAATAATAAAGATATAGCAAAAATCGTTAGTTTTTCATCGACTAAAATTTATTAGGTACTTAATATTCAAGGGAGCTTAACTTTTATGGAAGAAGATCTTTTTATGAAGACTGCACACGAATAAATTTTATCTGTGCAAGACTTCAATTTTCTGAACTTTGAGTTTTTCTTTTAATAAGATAAAAAAAATTCTTGTTGAAGAAATTTTTCTAATTCACAATTGTTGATCTAAGGGATACTCATTATGAATTAATCAAATTGTATAATTAACGAGCATCAAAAGATCCTTTGTTTCCAGGAAGTTTTCTTTACTTCTCTTTTATTCACTTGATTCGTCATCTAACTTATTTTTTTCACCCATTTGGACATTCACAGCAGAGGTCGCGCTTTAACGGTAATTTTTATAAGAAAAAACATTCAAAAATTAGTTTATATCTCCAAATATACTCTCAAATATTTATTCAATAACTTTTTTTTCACGGCATGATAAGGTATGAGTGTGGGTGTTACTGTTCTCATTGACCCACACCCTCTTCATATATTTATGTATTGTTCTCGAATGAATGATAGGTATATTTATGTACAACAATTAATCATCATTTAGCATGACAAAAGCTAATCAATGTATTGACGTATGTGTTAGATAATGTCAATCGTATTTTCATATATTTTTCATGTTGATTTTCTTAGACCACTAAGCTACAGTGCACTAAGACAATGATTATGTAATTTGAAATGGATACCTGAGTTAGCTGTTCAATGGCAAGAATTTTATGAAAATGTTACGCGTCTATCCTTTTATGGTCGATCAAGACAATTTCAGAATCAAATACTTGAAGGCATTACGGCATATAAAGATTTGCAACCTGATATATGCCCAAAATCAGCTGGATATCAACAGACATTTAACGTTGTCCTAATATTTATTCCTTTTTTAATGAAAATATTTTACATGTAATATAACTCTTGTGAAAATTTTGAATTTTAATAAAAAAACAAAACCTTTCGTACAATAACGAAATGCATAAATATTTATAAGTAACTATTGAAAAACTATATCCTTTATATCGACCAATCGAATTCGAAGTTTATATCAATCAATTTGATTATCTAATGACAAAGTAGAAAAAAACGTTTATCACACTAAATATTCAATATCTAATTTATCATTTAATTCGATGAATGTTTACTATTTATATTAGACAACAAATAAAAGGAGGGCTGACGGTTTGTAAGGAAATCACATCAATTGAGTTTTAATGATCTATTCGTATAGAAATAAAGAAGATGATGATAGAAACGATTTTTTTTGACGACTTTTATTTTGGGTCAAAATGGAAGCCTTGCCCGATCCCCTCGGAGCTGCTTCAAAAAATAAGTTGAAAAATAAAATTTGTCAAAAAGGCTTGAAACATACATCGATCAACACCATTTTTTATACTGATTCTGAATATTCTATCTATTTTGATACAAAGGATGATTATTATGACGAAAATCGTTGAATACCGGTCAAAAAGTGACGTGCTGTGCATATTCGAACAAAATTTTCTTGACTTCGAACATATTCGCAGCTTTTCTTCCTTACAATTTATACATAGACTTGTAGTCTATGAAAGGTTCTATCGATTGTTATAGAACTCAAAATGAGTAATAATGAATAATTTCCCTACGCAAACTAAAATCATCTAAAAAATATAATCTCTAGTTATTCATCTTTTATTAAGAATAAAAATATATGTATTCAAAGTAAAAAAAAAAATGAAAATTAAAGTTGCATCTGTTTATTGAACCGATATTTGTTGTTGATATTGTCCATCAATTAATCGTAAACCACTAACTAAACCAGTTTTTTTGTTACGTATTAATGTATTTTGAGTAATTTCGATTATTCCAGTATTATTTTGTTCATAGTCAAGTTGATGTAAATCTTCAATTACACGTTGAGTACCATAATAAGCATGTCGTACTACATCATCTTTGAATCCATGACCTAGAGTAACACATTCAATATCATTAACAAACATTGTATGGCCTTGATCAAGAGCAAAATTATAAACTTCTTCACAAGAAATTTCAGTAGGAGCAGAGACAAGTGAACAAGGCATAATCCATTGTTGATTGACACGAATAGGATGCCAAGCAGTGATAATAAGACCATTGTCAAGCTAGAAAAAAATAAAAATTCAAGTACAAAATTAACAAATTTATATATGTTCTTTGTTGATATAATGAAATTGTGGATAGAAATAAAATTATACTTACTACAACCATCTTTGCTTTTTTATTTTGACATTTCGTTTTAACAACATAATTGACCATTCCTCCATGTGGTGCTATTCTATCACCTGGTTGAACATATTTTATTAACTTAGTAGTTCCATTCATTAAACGTACTGTGCATCCACCATAAAAACATCCACCATCAGCATTATAAAAGACTGACATATCTATTGGAGCACCAGTTTGTTGTGAAGGTTTTGGAGCAGGTAAAGCACAGAATATAGTATCCATTTCATCACGTATTGTTGAAAAGAGATTGCCTTGTCCATAATTTTGGACACCTGGATCTTTAAAATTGTTACAATATTGAAGGAGATGTGCACCTAAAAGAAAAGATTTATCGATAGATAATTTTAGTAAATTTTGAAGTATCTGTTTTTTCAATGTATAAAATAAAATAGTTTTTGAATAATTTTAATGAACTTACGAGTTATACTAGGTAAAAAATGTATGCCCCATTTTTTAAACCAATCTTTGTTTGCGAGAGCTTCTTGTATTTGTCCGGTTAAGTCTGCCAATAAATCTTTAACAAATTGATCATTTTTATCGGAATATATTTTCATTTCTTCCTCTAATTGTTTAAGTCGATTCATTGCTGCTTCAGATTGTTCATTTGTAGTCGTTAAATCGTTACGTAGTGGACGCATTGCTTCCAATGCAGTTCGTACACATTGAACAAATTGAAGACGAAATTTATGTTGAGCTAGAAGATGAAGATCAGTTTGTTGAGGAGACGTGTTAATATTGAATTTGATTGATTTCTTTTTTTCAAGTAATGTATCATAAACTAATGTAAAATTACAATTTTGAAATGATTGATAAGAAAGAGGAATAAGTAAATCTTTGCTTTGACCAAAAGTAATCGAACCCAACTCAAACACTGTATCATGACCAGTAATCACTGTTGAATACCAACGTGTATAATCAGACGGTTCAATTTTTTGACCATGAACGCATATCTAGAATAATATGGATGTGATACTATTGACCAGGGGCGACGCGATCGGGGAGAACGGAAGTTATCCTTCTGCTCCGAAAAATTTTGACTGGAACTTTCTCCAGATTTGAAAACTTTGGTGGATCAATTTTCTCCGATTTTGGAGAAATATATTAGACAGCTTTTTCTGAGCTTGAAGAAAATCCAAGTTTGAAGAAAATTATTACGCAATTTTCTCTAATTATTAAGATTTTTTTGAACGACAGCAACTAACTTAAGTTCAGAAAAGACCGAGAAATCATCAATAGAGACAAGAGAAAAGTTTTTGACCCTTTCTCCGATTTTTGGATTGGCCTTTACTTGCTTCGACTCCTTCGTGTCATCCCTACTTTTGACTTTTTCTATTGACTTGACGCTTGATAAATTTTTATATATTTTTTTAAGATCAAGATTAAAATGTTATTTTCCCATAAAATAAAAGAAGATTTAGTCGAATAGCTTTATCATTTTGTATGCAACACGATCTATAAGGAGGGCTGAAGTCTAAGAATAAAAAATTGGACTCTCCATAGATCATGAGAAACACTAGTCAGAGACCACCATAGACACCTTATAGGAACACTCCCTCATACCATCTAGAGCCCATTGGGTTGGTCCCGAACTTAGTCGGATTCGGATCCAAAAATTTTGGATCTGGCGGGCTCTAATCGTCTGAGAAATGTGTAGGGTGTACTAGTCACCGAATGCAAAAGAAAAACAGAAAAAAGTCTCTCGTACCTTCGGGGCGACTATCTAATTCCAATTAGAAAATTATATTAAAAGTATCAAAGTACGGCTTCATTGGATCCGAAAATTTTGATTCCGACAGGCTTTGTTCATGTCACAGACTGTATATGAATAACACCTCCTTATAACATATGGACTATTTCCTTATTAAGTTAACGGATGATAAAGAAATGTGTCTCAAAATAGATTGACTACTTTTGTTTTTGAGTAGTCTCTGAGAAAACTGTATCGATATTTTCTATGGCATTGAAATGAAAATTTATTGACTCATGAACATATTCAGTTAAGTTCAATGTTAATTATTACCTGTACATTCGTTGCCACTGTAGCCAATAATGTAGCCATAGCATTGACAAAAATTGTTCCTACAAATGATCCATCAGGAATAAATGCATATGTACCCGCATTTCCTAATATGGCAATATCTTCAAGAAGTTTACTATCCAATTCATATCCGAAACCAAAAGTATTGATTGTACATGTAAAATGAGTCTTCTTCTTCAATTTTTCTAATGTTGGTAAATAACCACGTGGTGGTTCAATATTAGGACAACCGTCAGTAAGAAGAAAAAGAGCCGAATTACTTCCAACAGCTCTTTGACCTTTCGCTAGAATGTCAAGGCCAGTTCGAAGGCCATCCCATAAATTTGTTTGACCATTATCCTGAATAATAATAATATATATAAATCGTTTGAATAGAAATTATTTTCGATTTGAAATTTGATTAATAGAACGTTTAATATTTTTCTAACTGTGTTTAATAAATATAACACACTTCTTTAGAATTATTAGTTAAAAATTTTTATGATCAAGCTCATCTCGTTTTAAACAATTCTCAAAAGATTTAAACAAAATGTTTCTATTGAATAATCAAATTATCCATTGAGAATTTTGAGTCATTAGTAGTAATGATGTAAAATATTCAATTTATCTTGAAAGTTTTTTTTTTCGGACTTTTCTTAAAAAATAGATCACGAACCTCTAATCTTTCTAAAGCAGCTAAAGCACTTGATTTTCCATCTTGATCCATTTTTGTTAATTGAAACAAAACTGTAGCACTATTTGCAAATGATACGAGTGATAAACGATCTTGTGGTTCAAGTGAATGTATAATTGTTTTTATTGCATGTTTAACTAAATCTAATTGTGATAGACCAAATTTTTCATTAGCATCATTTTGAATCTCAGCTTGTACAGCCATAGAACCTGATGTATCCACAACACAACATACATCACATGGAGAACGATTTGTATCTGGTGGTGGTTGAATTTTAATATGAACAAAACTATCAGAATAAATTCCTGAAACTGTCAGTTCAGAAGGTTTCAATTCTGTCAAAGGAGAAGAATTTCCTTGATCATTGGATTTTAGTGATTTACGATATTCATCTATGGCTGCTTTAAGAGCACGATTTGGACGAAGATCAGATGCTGAGAGAGGAGTACGAGTAATTGGAGATGTACCATTTTGTCGAAGCCAACCTTCAATAGCTTGTCGTTCGTAACTATTACCGTCAGGATCAATGACTGGATCTCTCATAAGTTCATGAGTGATTGGACAAATAAAAGTTTCTGATGGTTGAGCCATTATACGTATTGATTTTTTTTCGATATATTGATGTTTGCGTCGTGTCTAAAAAAGAATTTTGAATACTATTTCTCTATTACAAGACGTTTATATGCGAAATAAGCATCTGACACACGTTGTGAAATACTAAATGAGAAAGAATGAGTAACGCAGAACAACAAAAATGCATTACTATGTTATTATTTTTTCGACCATATAAAGCTGTAATATGTAATCAAGAGCGTGTCATCAACGAAAGAAGAAAAAAAATCGAACTGCGTCATCATATTTAATGTGTTGTTTCACCTTGCAAATACAAAAAAGAATTACCTTTTATGACGAAATAAGAAATTCGGTACTATTGCTATCGTTAAACAAACAGAAGTGACACATGAAGTGCTTTTGTTTTTCGTCGAACAGAATAATTCCAATAGATATGTGTAACAAGAATTGAATCACATATTTTAGAAATTTAAATGAGATTTTCATACAAAGAAAAAAGTCTATTTTTGTTATTTAGTTTCATCTTTGTTCGTGGAATGAGTTTCTAGGATATTCATGATAGTTGGAAATATCCGCGTATTACGTATTAGAATTCTCCAACATATTCCATGGGATTTTCCCAATATGACGTATTGAAATTTTCTCACCGTATTATCTTACGTCATATAGGGAATTTTCCCAATCTGTTCTTACATATATATATAATCGTGTTCGTTCTACTCTAGCGTAGTCTGATATTACATTCGTTATTTGATGCTCTAATTGATCCCTTTCTATCTCCTCTTCTTTTATTATTCTTCTGTTTGTCATCATAACCAAGATATCACTAATAAACTGAACTCATATACAATCACCAAAATTTACAATCTTAAATTTGTACTAAACGCTTTTATCATGCATCAATGAGTGATAAATCTCAAATTGATCATAATTTTGAAATATATGGATCAAAATTATTATAAATTTCAATTCTTGAAAATTTCTACGAATTTGAACTGATATAAATGTACTTGTTTGTTCCTTTTAATCTTATCATTGCAAGAATAGCTAAGAAATTAGAAATTTACTGTCTTGAAAAGTGAATGTGAGGATAATGGTCACAGTGTGAATTTTTCAAATGGTAGGCGGACATATAGCTTTCTTGCTTGAAAACAGACTTCTTTGCTCAGAAATGATTGAATATGATGCAGAAAAGCATTTTAAGAAGAAAAAAAACAGCACGCCGTAAGAGTGATGTTAAGTTTGAGGGTCATCGTAAGAGTACGTCGTTCGATTGGAACGAATAGCCGCTGTTACTACAATCAGGAAGATAGTAATACTAGGGAAATAACATTTCTAGTTTTCTTATCTTTGATTTCTGTTTTTCTGTTGTTCATCATAGGTTATTTTGATCAAAAATCATAAATCAACAACCAAAGATTTAGTGAAAATTAGTAACAATTTGAGATTTTCCACGACTTCTCATGCATCCAATTTATTATAACATCTCATAGTAATCAAAATAATTTTATCGTTTTATGAGATATAAATGTCATAGAATTGTGTTCTACACGAGTACGACTTTTCAAAACTAGACTCGGCTATCTTACGTCCGAACCCAGATAGCTATACTCGGTACCTGGCCGAAGCTAACTGAGATGTGACAGGTACTTTGACAATCACGGTACGGTTTTCAAACTTTCATTTTATATTTAAAAAAATATACTATTTAGTTTATATCATAAACAGCAACAAAAAACCCTATGCTTTCATATCAATAAGCAGTTTGAAAAAGTAAAGATCTTTTGAAACATCGGGATTTCATCAATCATTGGGCAGAACCCGGTTATAAGACTATACCCGGAATCCGAACCAACGCATGTTTCGGGCCAGGCCAGATGCCAAGTATCAGATCCGGTTGCAGGGCAATATTATTGAATGAACATTAAATAGATATGTTGTATTCAGCTTCAACGAGTTAATGGCATGACTAAATTCTAATATTTATTATCTTACATTGTAACAAATGGGTATAGTATAAATAATGTATTTATATTCAAATAAAATGAATCTGTTTTATAATTGAGTATAGTTTATGAATCAATAACCAAAAAAAAATTAATTAACATGCATAGTCTATATTATATGTAAATATGTTTGAGATTTGTTACTCTTATTGTCTCCACAACGATTATTCCTTGCTTATGAAAAGATAGATACTGTTAATTATCCATCATTCTATATTTAGTTGCTTTTTTCATGCATATAAATAAATGATAGAAAAGAACAATTCGAGTTTTAGATAAAAATCAACTTAAGCATATAAATAACAAAAAAAAAAGTACAAACAGCTGAAGGGTCTTAAAATACGATACGAACATTCAGAGAAGTTAATTGAAGCTTAGATAAGACAATCCTACAGTTTAATCACATTAGTTCATTTCTAATCATGAATAATGTATTATCATATTATTGGAGATTTATTATTGAACATCATTATCTTAATTATTTTTATATGAGCAAATAAATAGAGAGTAACATTTCATATCAAGATAGTAGACTATGGAGAAATCTATTATTTATTAAATTATATGAGATTATTTAAGAGAATACATTAATAAAATTTCAATCCATTTTAAAATTAAAATACGAATAGTTTCTTTTTGATACTTTACATATACTTCATTTATCTTATCTTCAATATATTTTGTAAAAAAAAACAAGCAAGTGAGAAAAAACCAGTTATTATCACAATATCTTATCTGATAAAATATGAAACTGTGAAGTAGATATTATACCGAATATAATCTGACGAAATAATTCTTGTTCTGAGAAATGATATCGATATTTCTATATTGTTTGATTTTGCTTGGAAATTTTTTCTGCTATAGAAGATAATTTATATTGAAATAAAAATAAGTACAAGGCTTATTATTCATATTAACCGATTGACGTCATCGATATATATTTGACAAAACATAGCGCCAGCTTTATTGTATTACCTGATCATTTAAGATTTGTTTTCTATACTTCAATGCATTGTTGAAATAATTTGAAATTAAGTATAGATTTAGAATTTTAAAATCATTCGGTCGACCATGCAGTTTTCTTTGTGACCGTGAATAACTACTGTTCAATGGGTTGTTTATACCATATTCTACTGGAGATTATGTAAAAATTTCAAGTTTAAAAGAACACATCTATAGGAAATCATGTTCTAGTATTTGTATTTTGTTATTTATTATGGTAGAATAGGAAGACTATCGTAAAATTGACAGTAAAAAAGATTGTGTTTTTTTTACTGAAAAATACATATTTCGATACTGAATGAATGAGTATTGGAAATTTCATATTTTAAAGTAAAATATTTTGTGATAGATAGCACACCATCTAATATTGATTCACTGGTTATTGTACTTGTTAATGTAAAACCACAAGCATCAATAATTTAATGACATTCTTCATTTAATAAACAACCGAACCATATAAAAAAAAAATTATATCGCGTTATTTGACTTCTTTATAAATCTTTAATAGATGTCAAAAATGAAAAAAAACAAACTTACGTTAAGTTGTATCTTTGTTAAAAATTCTCATCGACTCTAACGGATGATTGGAAGTTTTTTAGACAAGATATTTGTTCACTTTTGACTCGTTAGAAAGTATTTCCAACAAGCAAAAGGCATGAGTTAGGACGTTGTTTTCGAATATGGGCTTACTAATTTCCTCTCAGATTTTTTCGGGAGTAGAGAATCTTTCAAAAGTTCACAAAATTAGCTGGATAGAAAATTTTTTCACACACTCTTGTATTTTCACTATTGCGATTCGAAACTAAAAGTTGAGATCTGTATTTATATATCAACTGATAGATCAGAAGCTACCCTACAAAATACATTATTTGACATCCTTTTCAACTTGTTCGAAAGAGAACTTACACAGTAAACAAAGATCTTTTGGTTCACCATTAAAAATAATTTGTCAGGTCTTTCAAAAAGTTCTTCACTACTCTTGAACGAAAACAGATACAATATTTCTAAGTTCATATTCGAAAACAGCAACCTCACTCATAGCTTTTGATTCATCGGAAATACTTTCTAGCAGATCAAAGATGAACAAACATCTTGTCTAAAAAAAATTTCCGATGACTCGCTCATATGTTACTTATGGCATCAACATTCACTTTGGGAAAGTATTCTTTATCATGTTAGCTATGAATTCATTGCTTCAAGCCATTCAATGTTTGACATGAAATAAAAAGAAGTCTATATTCTTGTTTGTTAAATATTTTTTAGAATACATTGTACGAACAATGATGAATCACTTCATTTCATTGATAATATCAAAATAAATTATCGACCAAAATCAGCTCTATCATAGTTATGGGTGTCATGTTAGAATTACTGTCCGTATGAAGTTATATTAATGCTAATATACCACACATAATCGCTGTTTATACGCCAACTTTTTTCATAGCTTTTTGTTTTTCAGAAAAACAACATAAATCCACGTCAGAAAATAATTCGATTGTATACTGTGACAAGAAGAGTTGTCAGGTTAGTATTAGTATTAATTAATACTAATTCTGATGCACCATCGTAATGGTACGATTAATTATTTCAAATGAACTATTCCAGCACTTCGGTAAGAAAAAATCATGGTGATATTCTTAAGTTTTAAAGTATTTTTCACAGTCAATATAGACGCGATAGATATAGTCAATTTTATCTGTTATTATCTCTTGGTTCGTTTTCAGAAAGCAGGTATCCTCTTCGCAATGCATACGAACTCAACAATACACAGTGCAATAAGTTTATGTATTTTGCTCAATGGAATATATTCTAATGAGATCATTGAAAATTAAATTCTTTTAAACATGTGTACTGTCATTCATATAGAATCTATTGAACAAACTATTGAAAAGTCTTTAACTATATAGACTGTAAAATTAACACACAGTGCCAAGGATAATCTCCAACAATTTCATATTATCTTATCAATATAAAACGGTGAGATAACTAAGAAGTCAAAATCGTACAAAGGTAATTTGTTCGTGGTCAATAGGAATTACAAACAAATAATGCATAAATATCGATGAGTATATTAAATCATTAAAAAAACAGCAGTAAGTATTCGAGGTTAGTTTGAGTTACTTATCACTAAACATATGGATTCTCGTTTCTCATTATGATGGAATTCGTAATAATTACTACAAACAAGCTGATTATTTTAATACCATGCAGAACAATAGGAAAAAAAACAGCGAATTCACTTGGTCTTAGTACGCAAACAGTCAAAGGACAACGATCTTAAGTTGTGTATCGACAATGCTAAGAAATTGCGCAGTAATAAACCATAAGTGTATGATTTGGCTAAGACTTGTCTTTAGCCTATGATAAATGATTTTTTCTCTTTATAAATCTAAGTATTGTAAATATAGATCGATTATATATAAAAAACTAAATAATTGAATGATTATGAAAATATATTGATAAAGAAACGTATGCAGGTTTTTTCTTTAAATAAAATTCTTATCGAAATGATCTAACTTTTGAATGATTTCTATTCGATTATAAAATCACTAATTTTATTATAACTGTTCTAATGCAATAGAATAAAGACTGTCATTTTCTGTTATTTAATAATTGATGAATACTAAATATAATAAAATCTTATAACTTGTTCATTGTTATAAATTCAAGATATCTAATCTTTATAATGTTACTAAATCAACAGTACACAGCAAATTGATTTAAAATATATGCTCTTCGTTTTTCTTATTCAATCTAAGTAAACTGCATTCATTCTGTATATCTATAAGTTATAATTTCATTTTAAAAAATACAGAAATAGTAGTTTAAATTAATACTAGAAGGCGTAATAAACGGCCATGGCTATTCAAACATTTTTTTCCCGAAGCTTCAGCAGATTGTGGGGATATTAGCACCTGAAAACCTGAAAGTAAGGTGCTGGAAATTCAAAATTAAAGCAGAAATTTTTTTCTTTATATATGGTTCAATAGAGCGTGACGAGTTGATCAAAAATATGCGCATTTTCAGTTTTTTACAATGTTTTTTTTCAGTGGAAAATTTTCAGTTTTTTTGAGATAACCCGCTTATTCTGACAAACAGTTCAATTTCCGATAGGCGACAAATTTTCAATTTATTTTTACATTTTCCTTTAAATTGCAAAACTATTTTTCTTTGCGAATTAGCATTAAAAAATGGGAATTTGAGAAACTGATTTACTAATGAGTTTTTTAGATTTAGATTTTTCAAGCTAAATCGGAAAAACCCTGTTTTGAAATTGAAAGAAAATTAAAAAATTAAAAACTTATCAAGTATCGAATATTGACCTGTTTGTCAGAAAAAGCAGATCATCTGGAAAAACTGAAAATTTTTCGCTAATAAATCATTGCACAAAATTGAAAACACACTTCTTCTCGATCAACTCATTACGTTCCATCTAACCATATATAAAGAAAAGAAAAAAAACTCCTGCTTTAATTTTACATCTCCAGTAATTTAAAACCTTGTTTTTGTAATCAAAATTCCTTTTTCTCTAGTATGAAACCTGATTTTCCGATACTTAATTCCTAATAACGCCTATTTGAATATCAGAAAAGTTTTTTCAAAAATCCTCCATTTTCTCGGTAAATATTCATAAAAAAAACTACTTCGCAATAGAAAGCAACCTTTATAACAGCAATGTGAATTTCCATCATAAAAAGTCATGACAACATAGGTTTATTCTAGTCTCTATATCCTTAATATAAAATCTGGTGCCATCTTCTGTTCTTTTACAGTACAATTCTTGTTGGATATCCTACTAGATATTATTTTCAGTTATCTAATAACCAGCAAAAATAGAACGACATAGTTGTTTTTTTTCTGTCCTACATTGATATTCAATGGTAACACGTCTCGAAAATTTTCCTACAGAATTATTTTTTTCTATTTTTGATTATTTATGGGCACATGAATTATTTTATTCATTTTCAAATTTAAATGCACGTATTGATATTATTATATTGCATACTCAATTACATATATCATCAGAAAATCAAGATATAATTTATTCTCCACATCGTGTTCTATCATTAAATCTTACATCATCACCAATATGTCTTGAAGAATTTATTAATCTTCGTTCATTAACATTAACCAAATGTAATCTTGATAATCTTATTCAACTTCCTCCACATCTTTCACGTTTATGTATTCAAAATATTGATTTACCTATTTCAAATACAAAAATTATTTTTGAAAATTCAACATTAATTAATGTTCAATTAAATTTACATCATAAATTAACTTTTTATCCATCAATATTAAATACTGATAAAAATTTTAGTAATATTGAATATTTAACAATAAATTATATATCATTAAATGATGTTATTGAATTATTACAATATCTAACAAAATTAAAATATCTTCATATATCACTTTTTGGTATAAATAAACAAAAAATAACAAATTTTTCTTCAATACCAACAGTTACTCGTGTTATTTGTCTTTCAATGGGTATATCATTTGATATATTATGTACACAATTTTTATCTATTTATTTTCCTAATATTCGAACTTTATCTATTTTTACTTCATATGTTGATCAAAATTTATTTATTAATTCTCTTGAACAATTATTAATGAATAATTTACGTTATGTTAAAAAGTTAAATGTTAGTGCGCAATTTATCATTAATCGAACATTAACAACTAATAATGATAATATTGAAGCTATTTCTACACGTTTTCGTACTGCTTTTTGGATTAAACGAAATTGTCGTGCAACATTTAAATGTTGTAATGATGATCCACATATAATTCGTCTTTATCTTCAAACAAATAAAAAGACACGTACACGACCATCAAGATTTTTAGTTTAAAAATAAAAATTATTTGTTTTTTTTTCGGACAAACATATTTTCAAAGTTTTTTTCTATTATTAATATAAATAAAAGTAATTTGATGGATATAAATAAAAATCTTACAAAACATTTCATGTTAATTTATTATTCTATCACATTTCATGTATGAAATTATCAACGATCAACAACAATTGTCATAAAAAGACTGAAAGTCTAACTTTTTCAATTTTTTCTTACATTTGTTTTTTATATTTTCATTCACATTATTAAAGGATACAAACCTGATTGAAATAGTAGTACAGATAGTATGAGACGTCAGCTATATGATACACTATAATAGACGGGTACTCTATCCGTCAATATAGATTCTTCATACTGAAAATGATTTTTCCACGCAAAAATAGATTTTGTATTTTCTAACCAAGAGATTGGTGCTGAAATAAAAATAAAATAAACCAATCGATAGAGAATTTCATACTTTATCTATTTCTAAAAGAGTTTTCTTCTCCGCGTTGATCTTCACTTCAAAAATTTGATTTTAGCGAGAACAGCGAAAAAAAACGAACCGCTTTTTCTGTTAAGTAACTTGCAAAAGAAAAGTTAGTTGTGTTTCTCAACACTTTTTTAAAAAACGATGGACCTGAAAAAATCAGTGATATTAGAACCTCAAATACAGCTCTTTTCAATAGTGTATAATAAATTGCAATAAGAAAGAATTTGTAAGAATCAATTACGCTGTTTTCGTTTTCTCGGCTATTCTTGTTAAAATCAAATTTTTGAAGTGAAGAACACTTTTCTTTAGAAACAGATACAGCGCGAAAATCTCTACTGATCAGTCTATTTTGTTTTCATTTTAGTGCCAATCTCTTAGTTAGGAAATATGAAATACTGAATAGTATTTAAAACTATTTTTGCATGGAAAAATTATTTTTAGTAAGAACAATCTATATTGATAGATAGAGTACTCTCCTATTATAGTGCATCATGTAGCCGGCGTTTCATACTATCTAAACCACTATTTCAATCAGCTCATATTTTTTAATGATGTGAAAGAAAATTTTAAAAAACCAATGTAAGAAAAAATTGAAAAAAAATTCGGTTAAATTTTTATAACTGCCGGTATTTATAAAATTTAAACAATTTATTTTTTTATTAATTTTGAAAATGAGATCAGAAACTATGATTTTGTTTTTGGCATAGGTAATGAGCTTTCATTCGTTATTTCAAAAAAATATACCAAGAAAAAAAAAAGGATTATATTATCAGTATTCCATTGTAATCTGATGATCTTGCATTATCTTGTGTTGTTTTTCTTTTGATTCAGAAATATCCTATGTGAGTAGTAGGAAGCGTATAATTATACTTCTTGCAGTTATACTTCCTCATACAACAGAAAGTTTACAATTAAATTTTTTCTCTCGCCTATTTGATATTGAATACGAAGGCAAAAAAAAAACAGGAAAAAGATTATAGATAATGAATTATTCAAACCAAAATTAGTAAAAAAAAATTTTGTTAATATAATAGTAAGAGTAAATTATAGCACATTTAAAATCAACATCAAAGTATTCAACGATGAAGATAATAACAACTGCCTTTCGTTTGATTTTTTTCTTCAACCTCTGGGATTTTTGTTCTTGTTTGCACTTTTGTTTCTAACAATGATAGAATAAAAACGAGAAGAGAAAGAGAATACGAAGAAAAAAAAAGTCTTCTTTCTTTCGGCTTCTCTAGACTCTAATCCTTTTTTCTTGTATTTTTCAAGAATACTATTCTCAATGAAATGTGCAGAAGAGATTATATACAATACAAAATAGATAATATAAATGAAACATGCTTGACAACTTTGATCTATTAACAAATAATACAACTGTGGCTTCTAGTATTGTACAGCAAAATAATAATTTAACTTATTATTTTGTTCCAATTTATACAATACTCTTTTTTCTTGGTACATTTGGTAATGGTCTTGTTATCATTAGTATTCGTCGTTCATCACGTCTTCGAACAGTGACCAATACTTATTTACTTAATATAGCTATTGCTGATTTTGTTCTTCTTATGAGTGTACCTTTTCTTATTGTTACAATACTTGCTAATGGATGGATATTTGGAAATATTTTATGTAAAATGTATTATAATTTTATTCATATAAATCAATATGTTAGTTCACTTTTATTGGCTGCTTTATCATTTGATCGATATCTGGCTGTGTGTCATCCAGTTCGAGCTATTGAATTTCGGACAAGAACAAAATGTGTAATAATCATTAGTGGTATGTTAGTAAAAAAAAAATATTACAAGTCATTTTCATGTTTTGTTTCGATATTCTATCCCTTAGTATGTTGGCTTATATCCATTCTATTTCTGTGTCCAACATGGGTATTTGCAACTGTCATATCTGAACAATATGTAGTTTGGTTTGGCCATCGAGTGCAAAAGTAAGAAAATATAACATTGTTTTATATTTTTTCGAGATAACTAAGTTAATTGATAGCCATACTGATTATTCATTGTATTCTTTTGCTACTGCTTTTCTCTTAATCAGTAAGAATAAGTTAATGCATTTAAACGAGGGCTCTTTTCTATTTTAATTGATTTCTATTAAATGCAATACTTAGATGTGAATAAGTACTCTCGAAGCGAGCAAAGAGAGTTTTTCATGTAAGAAAAATGCTTAACGACAAAAATACAAAAAAGTTCTACCCTCTCATTTTTTCAATGCTTTGCTTGATAAAAACCCTTTATCAAAATGTCAACTTCAAAAAATAAAAGTTTCCTAAACGAACAGGATTTTGTTTGATTATCTATAAACAGATAAAATTCATATATATGTGAAACAAGTTACAAAAATTTCCATTAAGTACCAGAAGGGACCGATCAATATGTCCGATTTTAATTGAAATTATTCAGACGGATAATCTATACATTGATGACAGATGCGAGTAGATAATTGATACTTTTTTTTATAATCTCACTGTTCTTTCTTAGTTAGATATCTTAGCGGATCTATATGATTAATATGACCATTGAATAATTAAGAAAACCATTTGATTAAAATCTATAATTACAAGTAGCTTGGATTTCTCTTAACTTCATCTCTGCTTTATATTTAAAATAGTTATAAAAAGAATTTTAAATAAGTAAAAAACTATATAGACGACAATTTAGTATTTATCTCATAAGAATTTCATAGTTTATAAGCTTATATACGTTCTCAGATATGTGAATAATTCTACTTCATGAAAATTCTATTAGTAGATAATAGTAATCTCGAAAGAAGCTTATGAACTTGATCTTATATGTTCATATGTCATGAACTTCAACTACATACATAACGATAGTCATAATAAAAAGTAGAAAATATAATTTCCATAGATGTCATCAATAGATATATATATATATAGAAAAAAATAATTCGTTTAATGTAGAATTTCTTTTTGTTCTCATTGTTTCGATGTCTTCAAATGTAATCGTTTCCTTTAAAACGTCAGTTAGCCTTATTATACTCCAATTGAATGTGCTCATGTCTACATCAATCAAATACGGAAGTTTTGAATGTAGTTCCCTGAAGCAAAATATTTAGGAAATTTCCGTATGATTACACAATAGTTTGAAAACATAGAGCTTTTCATGTTTTGTTAATTCCAATATATGAACATACAGAGCTGCCACTACTGGGCGTGTCGGGAATGTAACATCCCTTACCTCCTCCCCCCCTCCCCAATCGTCAAAAGATTTTCGCTTTTTCTCAGCAAAATTCAAAAATTTTCATGTGTTCTGTTAACAAAAATAATGGTACACCTCTCAAAAATTCTCAACATTTGATATCCATCCCCCCCAAAAAACTTGCTACACTCTCCCAATGTTGGTTGACTCGAGGCAGCCCTGTGAATATAAAAATATATCAGAACTCTTATAAACACAGCTTGTTCACATATACATAAGATCATATAAGTCTTATGTGTTTTCATGTTTACATGCAATAACCTTACATATTTATAGCATATTAGTACAGAAGTATTAGTTCTATGTTCGTAAATATCATATAGAATTTTTTCAAATGTTAAATGTAAATCATATAAAAACATATTCTATAAGAACGAACTATGAAAATATATACAACATTGACTGATTTGTTTGTCTAGACCGATGTACATATAATTGATCTTACTTTTCAATATAATATCGATTATAATATTCAAAGAAAACTATTTCAATTTGCATAAAATGACATACTTTTCAAGTGTCAATATCGCACATATTATGAAATCGCGCATGCTCTTCTATTGTTAATGAAACTAGATTTATAACTATAATCATGCAATTTTGCCTCTAAGGATTCACTGGTCTTCATATTTTGGAATATGTTGTAACATGCACAATAATTATCAAGTAATATCAAGCCTCGTTGTGACGTTAATAAATCATAGAGAAGCTTTATTTTTAGATGAAATTAACCTTGTGAGTGCCAAGAAAGGCTTTCTTGAAATACCAATAAAAATTTTAATTGAAGACTTTATACGTGCGGATATCAGTTGTTTTATCTTGTCTTTGAATGACATAAAGATTATTCAGATTGAAGACTTTGTGATGAATAAACAGTCTAATGCAAGTCGAAACTGTAATTATCCAGGTCAAAAATTATTCATTTTAAAGGACATTTCTGCCTCTTTCACTCTAATAATATAGAAGAACTCAAATCAAGAAAACTAAATATCGAAAATATTCTGTTATTTTTTTTCTTATAAAAATGATCTTTTATATAGAAATGAAAACTAAAATTAAATCATAAAGATTTTGATGGAAAGAAAAATATTAACTTATCAATGATTTTATTTTTATTGTGGAAAACGGATTAAATTTAAATAGAGATTAATTTCGCCTCAGTTTTACCCATGGAAAAATGTTTCCAATGAGTAATTCTATGAGTTCGTTTAGATAGAATTAATTGATGTTAATTAACATTCAACCATATAATCAAAAGAAAATATCTTATTTGTTTGATTTTCTTTAGGTGTGTTATTGATTTTCCAGCAATTGTATTTCGAATTCCTCCAGAAATAGTTTTTACTTATTATGGATTTTTACTTGGATTTCTTATTCCTGTATCTATGATAACAACATTTTATATACTTGTTCTTAGACGTCTTAATAATATACGTCGAAAACATAAATCTGGAATAAAACAACGTTCACATCGTAAAGTAACACGAATTGTTCTTGCTGTTGTAACTGCTTATTTTATTTGTTGGGTACCATATTGGTTTTTACAAATATTTATAACAATTGATCCATTAAGACATTCATTACGTTTAAATAGTTCTGTATTACCAACTCATTCAAGTATGCGTTTTCTTAAAGAATTAACACATTTAACAACAATTTTTGGTTATGCTAATAATTGTCTTAATCCAGTTCTATATGTTTTTTTATCGGATTCATTTCGTGAAGAATATTTAATTCTACTTAAATGTTTTAATCCAGGTGGATTATTTATAGAAAATACATTACATAATGGAAATGTACAAAAACATTCTTATAAACGTGAATTAGATCGACAACAATCACTTCAACGTACTAATCGTCAAGAACTAGCTATAAAAAACATAAAACATAGTGTAGCTACTGAGGAAGTACCTTCAAGTTATGGATCATTTTCATTTTTTTTACATCGTGGTAATAATCATAGACGTCCTTCACATTCATCAACTTCATTACGAGTTAATGAACATAATAGACGTCATAGTGAACATACAACCACATCTTCTAAAAATGCGTTACTTCAATGTCCAAATAATAATCAAAAACAAATGTTAATGGTTAATTTATCTGTAACTTTTACTCATCCTCAATCCAGCATTATCGATGATGGTGGTGTCTATTGTGGTGATTAGATGTTAAAGAAAAAATATTTTATTATTTTCTTTTTTTGTTTTTCATATTGTAACAAGTTCAACTAATACATATTTCGCATGCTCAAAATGTATGATTTTATTTTGTCTATTAATAAAAATTCATGTATTTTTCGATGTACAAATTTATGTCGAGTAGTTTGAAAGTAATTTCAGATTAATTTGATGATATATAGAGTAATAGGGACTTAAAATTGTGCCCTCAACTTCTAATGGTCGACATAGCCATTGAATTCGTGAGAATTTTTGCTAATTACTTTCATCTCGAATTGGTTTCATAGGACAGAGCATTCAATTCTTCATTGATTCCTATAAAACCAAATCTATTTTTTATTTGTCATTTCATTGACAGCCAATGGTTTATTAGCTAAAAAATCAGTTCTATTCATTGACTTTTTTTTTACAGAGAGAGAAATGTATGGAGCTCAGTTGGAGGAAATGTTTATATACTAATCAATAGTGCTTTTCAAAAGCTACAAAATCTTACGTTTACGAAACCCAAAAAAACATGATGGTTTTCTTAAGAAATTCCATGCATACTACGTTCGAGACATGATTCAATGATATTTTGATAAAGTTGAGTCAGAAAAACCAGAGAGATTACATCAAAATTAACGTGATGTTCAAAATTAGCATTGAAAACTGAGTCGACTTATGTATGTTTCAAATATTTCCACGATTTTTTTTTCTGCATCGAAAAATCGACCTGTGATCCTTCTCAAGATTGACTCAAAAGATTAACACATCGTATTTATTGTTCACACATCTGCCATTTTGTATTTTTTTCTTATTTCAGAAAAATTAGAAACTGTTGCACATTGTAGAAATGAATTTTCAATGAAATTCTTATTTGAGCTGATTCTGAGGAAGATGAGAAGTCAATTTTTCGATGCAGAAAAAAAAGCTCGCAAAAAATGTATGACATATACATAAGTTGTCTCAGTTTTCAATGCTGATTCGAAATATCACGTTAGTTTTGACGTAACCTTCAGTTTTTCTGACTCAGCTTTATCAAAACATCATTCAAAAACATTTTATGATTTCAATGGTTTTGTCGACAATGAGAAATTAAGAATAGTATTTTGAATCTTCATTCCTCTATATATCATCAAATCGATCTGAAATTAATACTACTAAACTACTCGATATAAAATAATGCATCAAAGAACAGATGAACTTTCGAACAGTTAAAAAAAAGAGACAGGTTGATGGTCTTATTCGGACTCGTGCTTAATTGATGAAAATAGAGATTACTGTCTATTTAAAAAATTCTCATTAGACATGGAATATATAATAAAAACAAAAAAAACATACGTAATAAACCCTGAAAAAAATAATGATGTTTTTTTTATTAAGAAAATCAAGTAGAGCATGTTCAATCTTATGAAAGAAATATTTGTATCACAAAGTGACAAAACTTCAAAATAATGAGAATGCATAAAAAGTGTAGACATGTTTGTATTTCGGAAAATTACATGTCACAATATTATTCAGACATATTCAATATGCATCGATGAACAATTTGATTTTCGGCACTGCTTCCATTCTAATTGTATTATTAATAATATCCTTCCGTTGCAAAGTTTTATTCATTTAGAAAAAGAAAACAAATCTCGTTCAAATTAAAGTCATACATTCTTTTATCACTTTGCACAGGTATTTTAAAAGAGATAAGTTATCATTGAAACAAAAAACAATTAAAAAAAACACAGTTTCCTACGGAATAATCATTACATTCACATATGCAACAATTCTTTTTTTTTGGATTTCATTGGATTACATAGTTTCGATCTAAATTAAATAAAAATATAGCAAAGTACAAGAATTATTAAAATGAACATTTACTATATCATCAATTTTTAAAATTGATCGAACAGTTTCAGTAGCTAAACGAATAGCACTCATCGATACAAGCAATGGTTGAACAACATTTTCTTCAAGAATATTTGATATAAGACCCTATATGAAATAAATTTTTATTAAAACAATAAAATATAGAAAAAAAGAAAACATTCAAATATACTTTTCGAACATTGATACCAGCATTAGTATCATTTTGAGCATGACGATTTCTTAATTCAGTTACAGTAGCAATAGGATTTAAACCTGCATTCTCTGCTAATGTATATGGAATAACTTCGAGTGCTTCAGCAAAAGCACGTACACAATATTGATCAACACCTGATAAACTTTGTGCATATTCCGATAGACGAACAGATAATTCTATTTCAGGTGCTGCTCCACCAGCAATTAATGCTCTAGAAATAGATTAGAATAACAAAAACAACAAAATAATACAAGTTATTATTATTATTATTATTATTACGAACCGTTCTTTTACAAGACATCGTACAACACAAAGAGCATCATGAATTGAACGACCAGCTTCTTCAAGCATTAATTTATTGGAACCACGTAATAAAATTGATACTGTATGACCTGGGTGAGCAACACCCATAATCTATTAAAATAAATCAAAAAATATTTTCATTTAGACTATCTACAGAATTATATGTTTAATTTGATATTTTTTTAAAAAACCTTCCGCACAGTCTTTATTATTGTGTTGAATATGCAGAAGAGATTCTTATAGCTAAATATAAATAACTTAACAATTGCTGGAAATAAAGTATTTTCGAAAAGTTCCTCCATTCGACATTACAAACAATGCAGACATAAATTGAATACGAACTAATTCTTTCTTTTTTTCTCATCATAATTGTATTATTCGATGTAAAGGATTATTAAAAAAGACATCAAGTTCTATGATTACATATGTCTGATAATCCAAGAATTGAATTTTTATGTACTTGAAACAGTAAAGATTCTTCTTCAAAATTTATATTAATGTTGATAACTTGAGAAATTAAAAAATTGAAAAACTAAAACTCTCTAATAATATTTTTCGTTATCAGATTTCTTTTTCTTTTAAGCAAAAATTTGAATAAAACATTTTTTTATCAATATCAAGACCATGAGGGTTAGTAAGTAAAAAGATAATATTGGTATTAACTTTTTGCTCTTCAAAACTAATTTTCTATCAAAGAGAACAAATGAAACTGTTTTTTTTAGTTCAATAGAAAGTCGACACAGTACAAACAAGTTCAATTTTTCATTTCTTTCTTGTGAATTTAAAAAAAAACATACCTTAACAATTTTATCTGAACCAGCTGTAATTTCTTCCACAAGATCTGCTGATCCTAACATATCTTGTTGAAAATGATCTAAACTTGCAATTGGTTTACAACCAAGTGTCTAAATTAATAAATATTTACATATTAAAATTAAAGGAAAAAAAGACAAATGTTCATTTACTTTAGCAATAAATGGTACATCTTCTCTTTCAACATCTTTAACAATTAATATTTTCATTTTTGCTAAATAATGTATAGCTAAATCACTAATAGCATCACGTAATATAGATTTTTGTATAAGTAATACATTGCAATTAGTTTTTTTAATTTGTTTTATTATATTTAATATATATTGACGTTCTTCTTTTATAACACGATCCATTTGTGCATGATCACTAATTATAACTGTATTTTCCATCTAAATTATTTTCAAAAATAAATAATTTCAAAAAACAAAAAAAAAAATAAATAAATTTTTTACATCAGTTTTTGGTGGTGATATACAGAATTGTATAAGAGCTATTTTAGCTTTTTCTATACGAGTTGGTGCTCCGAAACCAATAGTTTTTTGATCGAGAATAAGACCTTCGACTAATTCTGTATCTTCAATAGTACCTCTGAAAAGGAAAAATAAAGTTTACTTTCTTTATTTTTTTATGTATTTAATCATTTTATATTATACCCGAGTTTTTTAATAATGCGAATATCACGAAGATCAACATTCTTATCAACAGTTGGATTAATTACTCTAAGCACAGCTTGAACAGCGATTGGAGCAAGAAGATGAGTATGTTGTGAAACGACCTATTCATAAATTGATAATGATGGAAAAGTTTTTCTTTATTTTGTTGACTTACTTTTGAATTCAATGCAGTCGAAGCACTTTGTAATAAAGATTTATTGTCACTAAGTTGTATAGGTATACTAATATCTCTCAAAATTTCTGTTGATTTTTCTGCTGCTTTTTCAAATGCTTCAGCTATAGTTGTTGGATGAATACCTAAATTACATGTTCATTCCAATTTTTCATGTTTTCTATCAAAACAACACTACGCACAGAGTATTTGCAGAAGCTACAGACGCTGCCAAAGCTGTAAAAATAGAGTGAGTTCGAAACAAACACCATACGGACAACAATTCTAGACTATACTTTTTGTTTTCATTGGGATACAGCCTTTTTTCGCACACTCTACGAAAACCTACACCCTCCATGGACATTCATAGACATTTATGGTTACTTTGATAAGATGTTTTATAATTAAATATCACAATAGCCAAAGATAACTTTTGGGTATGCGTAAAAATTGCGAACTACACGGACACTGATTATTACCTCAGTTTTAATTGCCTGTCTACAAAAGAAGGCTATATTTCAATTGAAAACTAAAAGCGCAATCCACAATGAGTGTTTTTATGAAATTCGTTTCGAACGCTATCTGTTTCCGCAACTTCCGCAATTTTTACAGGTACCTCTATTCACATCAGCTAGAAAGTTATGATTTCATTGGTTTTTTTTAACCAAAATGAATATTACAAATGAGAGATTATTGAAATATTCAACTATATTTTATATTCATACCTTTAGCTACAAGACGACTAGCTGCATCAAGCAAACTACCAGCAATGACAACAACTGTTGTTGTTCCATCACCTGCTTCAATATCTTGTGCTTTAGATAATTCAACTAACTAGTAAAAAACAAACGAATATAAAGAAAAGACTGTTTTTTTCAATAAATGATTTTCCACAAACCATTTTTGAAGCAGGATGAATAACAGACATTTGTTTAAGTATAGTTGCACCATCATTAGTAATTGTTACTTCACCATTACCCGTTTGAATCATTTTATCCATACCACGTGGTCCTAAACTTGTTCGTACAGCATCAGCTACCGCTAAAATATTTTATTTAAATTTCTATCTCAAAAACAATTTCTTGTATTGTTTTGATACCTTTAGCAGCAACAATATTCGAATTTCTAATTGCATCAGGTCTCTGTCTTGTTTTAAATCCTGTATCATTCGTTTGACCTGATTCTGATGTTCCTTTAGCACTAGCAGCTACTGATGCAAATGATTTAGATGTATTACTCGATGTCATATTTATAATTTATCTTAAAGACAAACAAACAACACAATTGGTAGGGGTTTTTTTGATTTTCTGGTTAATGTGTACGTGCCATCGAACAACGAGATTCGAACTTATATATGATAATCGGGAGTAAAGACATTAGACAAATGAAAAAAGATGAACAAACAACAACAACAACAGCAAAATGAAAATCTCTAATGGGGGATTTTGTTAACAGAAACAAAAAGAAAAAGAAAAAAAACACATAGCGAGTGGAAAAAAGAAGAAAACGAAAAAAGCATTTTTTTTTTTCTTTCATAAATTTTTTTTTTTTGAATCAATGACATATACAAAGACAAATTTATATTCTTGTTTATCGTTCTTTTTGTTTTTTCTTTATCATATTGATTAAATTTTTCAGGCCAAAATGTACGATGACAATCATGAAAAATCAAAATAAACAAACAAAATTTAATAAGCACGTTCACGATAACGAGATGATGAATATCGACTTGATGATGCCGATGGTGGTGATGGTGAATAATGATGTGATCGACTACCATTATGTGAACCATGATAACGATCACGATCACGTTCTCGATCTCGATCTCTTTCACCACGATCACGATCTCTTGAATGTTGATGTTGTTGTCGATATTGTTTAGCGGCTTCATGATGATCATAAAAACATCGATCCGAATAACGACAAAAACCATGACGAAGATAATAACGACAAGGAAGTGTCCTTGAATTTTAAAAAGAAAAAAAAAACAAAAAAACAAATCAATAAATAATCAATTATTTCATTGAAAAGAAGAAGAAAATTAGAAAGTATTTAAAAATATACAAACGTTTTTTTTTTATAAGCTTATACTGGTAAAGATAAAAATCACAGCACATCTATACATACAGTTGAAAATCTTTTGATGTTAAAAAATAAATATATATATATGTGTGTATAAAATGTTTTGTTTAATTCTGCCAAAGATAACTGGATATAAATATTTCTAACAAGCCAGATTAAATAAATGATACTCGTTTAAATAATAATCAATATTAATTTAAATAAATCTGTTTAAGAATAATTAACTTAATCTGAGGAAGAACTCGAACGACGAATAAAGACACAGGTCTAGAAGAATCAGAGATTGAAGATCACTATCATCTTTATATTTATAAATATTCGATAAGAGTATTTTTTTTCTTTTGACTAATTTGATTCTTCATATTTTTTAAAATTGTTTCTCGCCTTCGCTAACTTCATAATTCATTTTATAAAAAAAAAACAAAAAAAAGAAACTTACTTTAAATGACTTTTATGCTTCTTAACAATACGATACTTTTCGTCTTTATTATCATAATAATGTTTAGTCGGTGTTATAAATGCTGAACGAACTTTACACACCGGACAACTAAAAACACGACAAATTTTAATTAAAAACTTTTTGTTGTTTTTTTATTTATTTTATTTTTTTGAATAAATATCTTCTATACCTTTCTGATTCAGCATTGCTATATTTCGAACGTTTCCATGAAACAATACATTCATAACAACTAAAATAATATTTTATATTATTGAATTATTTTTTTCTTTTAAATAAATTACAAAATATGATCGCAATTGTCGAGTACACCAAATAAACGTTTTGCTGCTTCAACATCACACGAACAAATCTCACAGATATGTCGACCAGGATCACCACCATCTTTATGACGACGTCGTTTTGATAATGAACTTGGTTGACGTGGTGGTGATGGTGAACGTTGATTAGTTTCCTTACGAGTGACAGGTGATTTTGAACCTTCAATAGAACTACGACTACGTGATCGTGATAAAGGTGAACGAGGTGACACTGGTGTAGGACTACGACTTGAAAAAGAAAATTAATTTTTGTATATTTGACAAAAAAAAATCAATAATTTGATTTTCTTTTACTTTGAACTATCCCGTCGACGTTTTTGTGCTGCTGATGATGACTGACGAACAGTACGACTATTACTATCCTTACCATCCATAAGGACAACACTTGGATGAGAATGAGATCTTGGTAATGGATCAGGTGAAATTGAACGTTCCGAACTCATTCTTTATTCAATTGACATACAAATACACAAAAGTTTGAATCTAGAAAAAAAAAATATTCTTTTATTCTTCACTTGTAGTGATGGAATATTTTATCAATAAACAAATAAATAAATAAACGAATAGACGGATAGAAAAAGAAGAGAAACAAAAATGTCGATTAATAATAAAGAATTGGCAAACGAATTGAAATCACTGATAAATATATTTTATAGAATATTATGAAAAATTTTTTCTTTTGTATTATTTTATTAAAATTAAAATTTTCTTTTTATCAATTATTGAATTTCTGAAAAGACAGAAAAACTATTTATAGATGTCGCATTGAGCTGCCATTTTTTTTTCAAAATGCATTACCGTTGTTATCGATCAACGAAATGATAACCATAATAATCCTTAGAATACATAAGAATTCCACTATGGTTGTAAAATTTCATAAAAATAAAATACATTACTTTGTAGTGTTAAAAAATTTGGTAGATTTTGCAGTCAGTATGTTGATGTAAAAAGATAAGCAGAATAGAACAAGTGTTGACATGTTATGAAATCCACATATCTGATGACATAGACGGCGCACCAACAAAACAATAGGATGCAATTGCTTCTTGTAAGAAAAATTAAGGAATGTAATCCGAGATTATTGTTTCGCCTGATATCTGCCTGTTTTAGTAGTTGTTATGAAAAGATTGATAGACAGTGCCAGAAATTATCTGTATAATTTGACTCGTGTTATATATATATATGTATATGACATTTGTCCTTATCAAAGAAGCTAAAGGTCGGTTAATAAATATCATATGATTGCAGAAACACAGAGATCGCTCATCTTTTCTTTTTTTTCCATGATAGAAAGTATATGTCTATTAGCCGCCTTCTCTATTTTATATTCTTTTACAAGTTTATGATTAGCTTCTAATTTATTTGTTTAATGTCTGAAACAAGTAAAGAAATCCAAAAAACTCCACTACAAGAAAAATATAATAGTACAGCTATTCTAAATACGAACGAAACAATTATTTTAGGTGAAACTGGATAATACAACATCAGTACCACCATTTTAAGAGTGTGGGTGTAGATGTTAATCTTCTCTGCACGAATTTATACATACACTCCAACAGATCACTAGAGGCTATTTAGTTTATATGAAAGGGAAATAGTAGATTTCAAGATTGAATTTGTATCGAAATAAAAATATTTTGAAAATAAATAAACTGATTATTCGTAAGACTTGAACTGAATTTATTGTTTTGCTTAAAAAGTTTAGTTAGCACTGCTTATGTCTGACGAATAATCATAATTAATAAATTATATTGTTTTATATATCAATTATGCAATGAGATTATAGTTGCGTTATTAAGCTTGAACAATATTAAATCCATCACGAAGAAATAGAACATTAATGTTACCAGCTTTATCGATCGAAAGTTAAAGAATATTATCTACTGCTACTCATGCATCTTCGACTGGTACATGGTCAGTAATCTTTCTTCATTAGTTCATTCAGAGTTTGATTCATTGGTGATATATGCAGATTCAATTCATTCGATGTTATCGAATGCTTATTCTAGCGTCATCTCCTTACTTATCCCATAAGTAAGTGCAAGTATCCGTTTGAACTACAAACGAAGTAAATGTGCTTTAAATAGACCACACAAAAGACTTACGAGGGAACATTCCCAAGTGTCACATCGCTTTTGAGTCGAGTGTATGCGCATCATGTAGGTCCCAATAATCTATGAAAACTCTGAAAAAGTTCGTACCGCTTGCTTATTACTGCCGAGATATTGCATTTTTATTGTATGTTTAAAACAAAAAAAGCTGTGGTCCCCCTCAGGAGCGCTAGAAAAACTAAATTTCGAATTTCGACTTGAAATTTTGCATAGAGATATAGGCCTCAGTGAGAATAGTTTATTGTGAAAGTTTCAGATCTTTTCGTTGTTCCTATCCTAAGATACAGCTATAGTAAAATATCTTATATACACCAGCAGATTTCGATGTTCTTATTTTAGACTAGGAGCAATCAAAAGATCTGAAACTTCCACAATAAACTGTTCTCATTGAGACCTATTCCTGTAGAAAATTTCAAGTTGGAATTCGAAATTTAGTTTTTCTAGCGTTTCTGAGGAGGACCACGGCTGTTTGCTTATAAATACAATAAAAATGCAATATCTCGACAGTAATAAGCTAGTGGCACGAACTTTTTTTGGAGTATTCATAGATCATTAGGGTCTACATGATGCGCATACGTTCGACTCAAAAACGATGTGATACTTGGGAATGTTCCCTGGTTAGCTACATTACCACTATCAAATCCAATATTTCTCCTAGATGAAAAAGACATCTATCAGTTAACCATGCTTGATATGAGCTAACACGTTGAATGTTTAGTGGTCTGTTAGTCATATTTATTTCTTTTCAGAGATAAATCATAAGTGCAAATTATTTTTCCAATCGTGAACTAATGTTTTGTATAATTTATTGCGACTAAAACTAGCCCAAATAGGTACTGTCTTTATGCAATCAACATCGTAGTGGTTGTGTTGTACTCTTTTAGAAAAGTGCTGATGACTCCAGTCGAAGATAATCAAATGTATGTAAAATGAGATGTGTATGACAATAGATGTCTGCACCTATTTGAAGAACTGGAGAGCAACGAAAGACACCTATTAAAGGTTCTAGTAAAGTCTTGGTGATGTATGTTCCATTTGAATGGAACACCAATTTAATTTTTTCATAAAATGGAAGAGGAATTATAATGATGAACAATCAATTCTTCAGACATAGTTCTATGGGCAAATATTTCAACATTATCGATATAAAAATAGATGTAGACAAATAAATCAAACGATATGACGAATACTTATTCGTATAATATGAATATAATACAATAACATCAAGAGAAAAATCGAATAAAAACTAAGATAACAACGATGACGACCTTAAATTT